TAGTTGTGGTCAATGTTAATCATGGGGAAAGCCTTTTCATGAATTCAAACTTGGTGAATCTCTTCTGGACATTCTCATAGTGGGTGATGACTCAATCCACTGTGGTCACTTCAGAAAAGGAACAAAAACGAATAAACCAAAAATGTAATGTGATCTTAATTCAGCATTTATTTAAATTCCAAAAATGTCCCTTGCTGTACACTGTCAGAATGGTAGACTGGCAGACAAATGTCTAGTTAACATGACTGGTTGTTATAAAGTGCAATACAATTATTTCTTAATTCAAGTAGTATAATCACTAGAGCTGAGCAAAATTATTCTGATCAAATATTTGTTTGGCAGGAATTAATATAGCCTATTGTTATTCAAATTGCATCATTTAATGTATAGTTTTAGGCACATGAGTGTATCTTTTCACTTAATTAGCATTATAAATGATTTCCAACAAGATACTCTGGCTTATGGCTTAAGAAGTTTTTAATAAATAAATAGATTAAACACCAGATTTGCATTTGACAACAATTAGTTGTCTAAAACGTAACTTGTTAACTTTGTGGTGATCTGTTTTCTGTGTATTTAGTTTGAAGTTTTTCTGTGCTTATTTAGTTCTGTTCCACTGTGAGTCTCTGTGCCGTCCTGTCCTGATTGTTCCCAGGTGTTTCTCGTTCCCTGATTACCCTCCTTGTGTATTTAAACCCACCTGTTGTCTTTGTCTCTTGTCGGGTCCTTGTCGTGTCTCATGTCAGAAGTCAGTTCTGTCTTTTCCCTCGTGCTGCTTTGTTGGACTGTTTCTTGGATTTATTATTAAATCATATTTTTTCATCATGTCTACTTGGGCCTACCTGTGTCCTTCCTCACCACCACAACCACAAATCATGACAAACTTATCTGGTGGATGTTGATTACTGCTTCCCTACTTGCATGTCTCCTCACACCCCTCTTCACCTGGAGAAAATAGTAACAAAATTTACTTATCTAATTTTCTTGGGGAATATTTCATCTGCTTCTTTCTCTTTGGTCAAACGGGGACTTCTTTCTCTCTTGGCCGGTCCTCATTTTAATCCTCCACACCTGTAGTATGTCTTCATTAGCCTCCTTTGTCCCCTCCACTCCCCACCATGTGTCCTTAGGCCACTGCTTCTCAATTCCAGTCCTCAGGCCCCCCTGCTCTGCATGTTTTAGATGTGCCTCTATTCCAGAACAGCTGATTCA